TTTTCATGTTGTGCTTCATGTAACATACATAGACTAGAGGGCCGCTCATGCCCTTGACAAATAAATTAACATTTTCGCACAAATACAAATCAATATCGTCATTAGACAAGAAATATAAAATAAAATTTATAAACAAAACCTACCACGGCATATTCTTGAACAAGTATGCCTACAAACCTACGATAAGCATGTTTGTTATTATTATACTTAACCTACAAATGCTATGACTTAGGGCATACCTGCTTTCCTAGATAAAACATGCGAACTAATTGCGAGTGCGACGTGAACTTAGAAAAAGCCTAGTAAGAATTTACAACTGTGAATTTCTCAGAATTGTTTGGCAGTTCAGACGAACCTATGGCCACAGACTACGGAAACCTACAGTATTATTGTATTAGTATCCTGCATTTGTATTATTGTGTTACTAGCAGAGTACCCGTCCTTCGTACGGGGTTGGCATATAAGTATAAATGTTTATTGCAGTTATGGGAGAGGACACGATTAAAAAAAAAACTGGTCTTTTAATTTATACGGTATCCTATTGTGTAGCACACATCTACCATAGTCCTGATGTTCTACCACTGCACCTAAACCATGGAAAAAAGTAAAGTTCTCATTGTGTACCACAACTTATTTTTGCTAGTTGGTTCAAATTAGCTGTGGTCAACTGGTCATTAATGCAAACAAACAACATAATAGTGCTGCACCCTGTTTGGTAAGCCTTATAACTTTTTAATGCTGTTTAATATCATAGAACCAACTTATACAGTTGGAAATGGCTGACAAAACTCTTTAATTTCTTTAAATATGAATACTCATAAGGTTAACATGAGAAAGTCCAGAGCCAGAGCCACCGGGGCGGAGACTGAAAGAATTTTTGAGGTAAGAATATGTTAATCGGAGATTTCATCTATCATCATACCAAATTTCAACCTTGTCGGTTTAGTTTTTTTCGCGTTTGCTTGTCACAAACATCCATCCATCCATCCATACATCCATGGTTTGCACTGTAAACAAAAAGCTATCACAATAGTTACAAACCGACAAATATAAAAAATAGGAAAATATAAATAAATATGGAAAATAGGGTAATTTTCTAACATGTTTTAGTGAAATTATATAATCAGGCAAATGGAAATTCAGTCTACAGATTTGCTGTGGGAGGGGGATTATATTACGGTTTACACATAAATAAATCAAAACATAAACCTCATAACACTCAGAAAAAGGGCCTAGGTTGATAGGGCAATGATTATTGAATCCTAATTATTTCCTAAATCCATGATGAATGATTTCTTTTAAAAAGAATTATTCCCAGTAAAATATTATTACAGCATTTCACAAAAATAGAACAGACTCAGTATAATCTAAATATATAAAAGGCAAAGCCCTAACTGACTGTGACTCACTCACTCACTCACACCGATTCTTTGGGCATTAAATAGGAAAACTAAGTAGTTTTTATTCTGATCGGGCTTTCGGGCTCCGCCCAAGTGGCTCTGGAGTTTCCCATGATAACCTTATGATTTTTCATATTCAAAAAGAATTTCTTAACAGCTGTTTCAATTAAACAAGTTGGTTCTGTTCTATGATGTTTAATAGCATTAAAGTTACAAGGATTACCAACAGGGTGCAGCACTATTATTTTTTAAATTTTGACTACAGCCAAAACGCATGTAATAAGTTTGTTCTCAATGGAAATAAATAAATTCATTTAATCATTCATTTAATTTGCAACCAAAAGGTGAGTGAGCGTAGCGAACGAACTTCAACCTGGAAGCGAGTTAGCGCAGCGAACGAGCTCCAACCTAAAGGTGAGTGAGCGTAGCGAACGTACTTCAACCAGGACGTGATTGAGCCATGCGAACGAGCTCACTTGTGAAGTTAAACGGGGCAAAGCCCGCGGGTACAGCTAGTAGATCATAAACATAAACAAATGAAGTAACAGAAAGAATCATATCTATATATTAACTAGCTGACCCGGCGAACTTCGTATCACCTAAGTTATAGGTTTCCCCTAAGACAGACCGATGGAAAGAAAGTACCGTTACGTTTAATTTTCAAGATGATCTCGTTCGCATCGCTCAATCACGTCCTGGTTGAAGTTCGTTCGCTACGCTCACTCACCTTTGGGTTGGAGCTCGTTCGCTACGCTCACTCACCTTTAGGTTGGAGCTCGTTCGCTGCGCTCACTTGCCTTCAGGTTAGCTCGTTCGCTACGCTAACTCGTCTCCAGGTTGAAGTTCGTTCGCTACGCTCACTCACCTTTGGGTTGGAGCTCGTTCGCTACGCTCACTCACCTTTAGGTTGGAGCTCGTTCGCTGCGCTCACTTGCCTTCAGGTTAGCTCGTTCGCTACGCTAACTCGCCTCCAGGTTGAAGTTCGTTCGCTACGCTCACTCACCTTTTGGTTGCAAATTAGCTGTTGTCATAAATGTAAAAGAAATAATAGTGCTGCACCCTGTTGGTAATCCTTGTAACTGTAATGCTATTGAACATCATAGAACAGAACCAACTTGTTTAATTGAAACAGCTGTTAAGATTCATTAATTCCATTTCTCATAAGGTTAACATGGGAAACTCCAGAGCCACTGGGGCGGAGCCCTTTTAAGAATTTCGAAACGGGAAATAGTTTACGTCCGATTCGCATACCTACAGAATTTACACACCAAATTTCATAACGATCGGTGAAGTCGTTCCGGAGGAGTTTGCAGACAAACACTGTGACACGAGAATTTTATATATTAGATAGGCAAGCATGTTTCTTTAAAACCTTTTTCTCAGCTTGTGGGCATCGCAGGAAAAATCTTCGCATACTGTTAGAAAGATATTTTTCTGTAGGTGTGCAGAATCCCTTTAAAATTAAAATAGGCTCAGAAATAAGCACAAGAAATGAATTTGAAAAAAATTCACATGAGCTTTATGGGTTTCCATGCTGGTGACGAAATAACAACGAAATATAAACAGAAAATCAAAACAAATTGAAGAAACTCCAATCACATGTTTTATTTACAGTGTGGGGTGAAAATAGAGAAGTCTGCACATTACAAATTTTTGGTCGAGATTCGACCACTGGACGACCTCTAGTACTAATGAAATTACATTAACATGTGTTTTGACAGCCACATTTAAGTAATGTAAAATAATGTTTACATTCGGACTATTAACATCATTATTTAAAATTTATAATCCTTACCCTCTCTTTTCTGACATTCGTGCATTATTTAATATGTTTGAACCAGCTGTGTGGAATTGTGAAATCAAAATTCATTTGACAGTTAGTTCTGGTTGTTTACATTTTCAAATTATGTAGGTTTGCTCTTGTTACCATGGATACCACCAATCAATATTTTAAAATCTCTCATCTCAAATTTTTGAAAGCCCTCGGGGCAGAGCCCTAATAACGAAGAGGGAATAGTTGTATAATGTATCCTCGGAGCTGTAGCTTCATTTACGTGCAATTTGAGCCCAGTCGGTTCAGTACTTTTTGAGATTAGGCTATCTCATACAAACACACAGACACACACACACACACAGACACCACCTCTTCTTTATAATAGTATAGATAGATAGATTACTATTATAGTATTATGTATTGTCTGTGCTATGGCTAAAATACGTATTTATTACTGCATCAGCTGGAGACACTCTCTGAATATCCGCTTCAACCATTTGTTGTCAAACATTGATCTCGTAAAATAGTGAAATTATTTTTCGTATGCACTAATAGAGCAAGGTTTGTACTAAAAGAAAACCTTCTTTTAGTTTAAAAATATATGTTTCACAGGAAACATTTTTGACCATTGTAGTAACATCATTATAGCTTAAAAAGTTGATAAGTGATAGTTTACATAATATTTAGCACATTTGACGGATAAACCTTTTTTGAATTCGTCATATTATAAGTGTATGAAAATTCATATATCTGTATATCAATATCTACTTATCTCATTTCTGTTCAATGGAAGTTATACAATATCAATGATACCGGTACTTAAATGGGAAGTCTTACAGCTGTTATATAACGTACTTCAACATTTTACCTACATACATTTTATCTTACGAGTAAATTTGCTACCAATTGATATAGTATAAAAATTCTATTCTACTGCAGTACTTAGAATTCTACCACTACTCACATTAAACCTACCATATTTACTTTTGGGCTAGTGATTAATTTAATGTATTAATCATACAATATAGTGAATAATGTAGTCATTTATTTATTTCGTTTCTATGACATAGCTCTATTTTGTATAAATCAATTATACAATCATAACAACAGAAATACTGCATCATTACATTTTACGGTGACATAGTATTTATTTTACATATAAAAAATTTAAGCTAATGCAATAATTAGTTCAATTAGAACAATTGAATATTGAATAATTTAAACATTAATCGAAGACGAAGCGGTTGACAACAAACTTTCAAACAGTTGACTAGGCCTAGTTGCCTTCAAAACTAATATTTCAATAATTGCAATGCGAACTGTAAGCACTGAGGTCGGCAAACAGTGTTCACTGTGTGCAGGCACTTTGGACGTCGTGGCACTTGGACGTCGTGCAACAGTCAAATATTGATTGGACGTCGTGGCACTTGGACGTCGTGCAACTGGCAGAGGCTTTGGACGTGGTGCAAATGATACTTCTTTACAATTCTACAATGCGCTGTTTCATGACGTCCAAGTGCCACGACGTCCAATAATATTTTTCCAGTGCCACGACGTCCAAAACATAATTTTTTAGTTGTTGCACGACGTCCAAGTGCCACGACGTCCAAAAGTACAGTAACTGCCAAAAACATAGTCTTTCTACAAGCTGTCTTATCAAATAATATAACTAACTAAAACACAAACTATCCAATAAAACAGACCTGGTCTGTTGCCTACATGAATTTTAGTATTACTCTTACACTCGACAACAATTTATTACCCCATCAATCTAACAGCAACTGGGACTATTTACAATGTATGGTGACAATTATTTACCTCGTCGATGGCAAGTGATCCATGTAACATTCGAGAAACTTCAGTCGTCAAGCACTATGAATTTGAAAACTGTAATTTTGTGTGTTCTGGTGAGTATTGTTAAGTTATAGTATATTTATGAACAATAGGTATTATTTTGTAAATTCTAGTGTTTGTATGTTAGTTTCTTACTCTGTCAAGCATCGACTACTCAACTGATTACCATGAAATTGTGTACTTTTATTTTCAAAACTTGAATAATGAAAGTAAAGAACATTAACAAACAAAATTGTGTTTTTAAAGGACCAAAAACTTATTCTTAGATGTGGAGTTTAAGCAATGCGAACAATTCCATTAAAATTACGTTTAATCCAATGTGACGTTATAATAAGTAAATGCAGTTTAATTGACTTTAGCTTAGCATGTTTTGCATATACCAGTTCTTTTACAATATTTGGGAAGAAGCAGTATGATTTTTACGTCCTCCTCCTATAAATAGTATAGAGAAAGTGCAGTATTGTTTTCACCAAAATGTTTGAGTTTGAGTTTTGGGTGAATATATCCGTTTTGGGTTCCCCTGAACAAAAAAAGTTTTTTGAAGTGATGTGTATGTCTGTGTGTGTAAATGTGTACATGTAAATGTGTACATAGCTACAGACCACGCCTGTTGTCCGATTTTGATGAAATTAGGTATGTGGGTACCATTTGTGGTATCCCCAGGCGTTTTCTTAATTTTATAAAAAAAAAATATTTTTAATTGTGATTTTTGTATGGGATATTTTCCCATGAAACCACATTAAAACGGAAAAATTTAATGTTAACAAAAATGACCTGAACTACTTTGATTAGAATTTAGTTTGTTGTAATCCATTTAATTCTAACCAAAACGGTACAGCCCCCATTGCGCTAAAAACTTCGGTTCGAAAGTTATTGTTACTTAGCGGAAGAATTTGATTTAAAAAAACTTTCACAACTAATTATTAATTATTTTTCACAATTAATTCATTTGTACAAATCGTATATACGAAAAACAATGGGTTTTGAAACCGCCTGATTGGCTGGCACCCTGCTGTAAAAAGAACATAAAAATGCTATACTGTAACATAAATAATTACCTATTCAGTACAGTATATTATTTAAATTCTGTTGGTTTACAAAAAATACAGAAATAATCAAATAAAAGCAATATTGGCCTAAATTAATATGAAAATTAGAATAGAATATATTTAAATATTTCAAGCGAGTCTCATATGATTTTATACTTAAACTTTTGTATGTTATGGTTCTTATAATTCAAAACAAAATGGTACAATCCCATTGCTGTACAAATTATGGCTCAAAAGTTATTGCAACTTTTGTGGTTTTGCCCATAAAATATCATAGTTAAACCCGCTTACAATAAATGTTGTTGAGAAGGATATGTGAGAAAGTTTTTGATTGGTAATACAGCTTATGTAGTGGTTACTCCGCGACGTGGAAGCGGAACTGACTTTGAAAATCAAATCCCTCGAGAATTAGAATACAATTTTATCATATATCAAAATGAATCCTCCAGTCACTTCCATTAAAGTAACTCCATAAAGTACTAATTGCGTTGACTCCGGTAATTGTAGACATTTTATACGCTACGCTCCTGGATGAATTAATGTTCGTCAGAAAAGAACATAGCAGTTCTGTGGCTTCTTTCCATGTACCGTGACATTCCTCGACGGGACGGCAGTCGTAGGGCAAGCTATCACAGACTTCTTTCTTCATCGGCAGTTGACCATTTTATCTGTTGAATTACGTGCGTCGACAACCAGCCAGCCACGTCCCGGAGCGAGACGTAGGAATTGGCTAACTCAGGAGCTCGCTAACTCGGTCGTGTGTCGGAACTGGCTAACTCTGGAACTGGCTAACCGTCTCAGTCAGGAATTGGCTAACTCCGGAACCCACTAACTCGATTTTGTCTCGCGGCGGAATTCGCTAACTCTGGAAGTCGCTAACCCGGCCGCGCCCACTGCACGGAGCGTTGCCAACCTTGCACGACTAAATAATCGTACATTACCGTATTTCAAAATATCAGTGTCAATGAAGATACAGTAAATGTTATTGTTTTTGTTATAAATTTCACTTTTAACAGAAACTAGCCCAAAGCCTAATTCAAAGACAATTATTAAAAAATCATGAAAAAGTGCTTTTTTTATTTAACTGTACAATGGCCAGTTAAATGTTTATGATTTCGATCTTAAATATAAATGCCATACTTATAAAAGAAAATAATAGAATATGAAAAATATTGAAAAGGTACTAAATGATTAAACCTCTACGAAATTAAGCTAAAATACACGCTAGTTCTCAAACACGGAAAACAAATTTAATCGTAATGTCGTAATAAACCAAAACCATTCATTGATACAGTCATCAACCATCGTAACTTTCATAACTAATTCATAGATTTAAAATAAAATGTTCGTCGTTGAACCGTCCAACTTAGGTGTACAAATATGTCATAGACTAAGCTTTTATCTAGGCCTAATAGTTTAAACCAAAGCATTGTAGGCCTACTAGTAAATAGTTGCCTAATTCTAAAATGTGTTGAATTTTTTAGTAATAATGTTACATGTTTTAAAACAGTTTTTAGATTGTACACCTAAGCACCACTAGTAAATAATAGGAGAAGATCATTCATATAATAAAACGTGACAGGGCTATTTTAATTCACGATTCTTAATCAACGAATTGACGGATTTTCCTGATTTGAGTGTTGGGTTTCCTTTATATTGCTTTCACAATCGAAATAAACTATACCAAGCCTTTGCTCGGTTCACCGTTCCCCGGTACTGAGCTACTCAATAGACAATAGCTTTGTTTTTGGATAAGATCAAGTAATTTTAGCTATGACCACCATTCATAAGAATTACACACTTACTTGATCTAGTCAAAATTGTTGATACTATTATTGTTAATGTGTTTAAATCTCTTTATGCTTTTGTTATTGTTATATTATTTGTTATTTATTGTATATTTATTACTAGAATAGTTACTGTTGCTCAATATTTTGTAGCTTATTAGATACAACATGTAACATACCATATATTCGCTGTAAAATGGTGTAACCGTTGAGAGGAAATAAATAAATAAATAAATAAATAAATAAATAAATTGTAACAAACAAGAACGCCTGGGTCGATTTAGAGGAGAAAACCTCCAGACTTTTAAAAAGTAGGCCTACTGATAGACGTAAAATTAATATTAATTAAACAAAATTAAGAGGATGACCCGGGTTCTACACTAATAGCCTACGATAAAAGAAATTTACAAGTTGTATTTATGCATATAGACTTATTGTTAATGCAATCTATGAATAAATTAGGCCTACCACTTTATAATATTGTATCGATAAATATTTATTTAAATTCAATAGATCTATTTAAAAATACATAATACTGCAATGTATTTATGTAGGCCTACTGACGTTTAACGTGTAAATTTTATCATGATTTATAATTCAATTTTATGATTCAAGGTTACAAGCCCAGTGTATATAATATACGAACTCAGTAATTTATTTGCAGAAGTTCAAAAAACGGTATTTATTCGAATAAAAGAAACAAATGGCGAACTACGAAAATAGATATTTCATAACACGTATAAAAGATACAAATTAAATGTACATTTTATCTTTTTGCATACCAATTAGCTACTATTTAAGTAAGAAGCCCAAATATAAATCATACGTTACTCCCTTATATTAGTACATTTCTCATCCTTATGGATCAGCTGAAGACAGTTTTATTGTTAGTTCTGTCCGGTACGCACAATTTGTTTTTCAGGATTAATTTTGCCAACAGTGTCATTTAGAGGCTTCTGATTGACTATAACGAAGGTTTAGTAATTGAAAAATTATTTTTGTTCATAGAATAAAATTATAAATGCCTCAAATTCAATTTTATATTTTTTATTATGAAATTAAACCGTCATAACCTAACCAAACGTGCTGACAATGAAAAAATCTAATGAAGGTTTATTAATCGAAAAAATAGTTCTGTTCATAAAATAAAATTATAAATGCCTCAAATCCTATTTTTTATTCTAAAATTAAACTATCATAACCTAACCAAACTGACCAGACTTGCTAATAATGAAAAATCAAACGAAGGCTTAAAAGAAAAAGCTAAAACTATAAATGGGTCAAATTCATTTTCATAATGTTTTAATTATAAAATTAAACCGTCATAACCTAACCAAACCAACCAAACTTGTTGATAATGAAAAAATCCAGTACAAAAAATAGTGCTACGAGTGGGATCCGAACCCGGGTCCTTCGGATTATCAGCCCAGCACTCTATCCACTACACCACCGAGGTCGTTGGCATCATTCGAATCGTCGCTGTAATGATGCTCCCTCAGCCAATCAGAAGCCTCAAAATAATACTGTAGGCAACACTGATCCTGAAATAAAAATTCTGCGTCCGGCGCACTGTCTTTAGAGGTCGTGTTTTGTTTACAATTGTTTCTTGTTTCCGGTCATTTAAAACCTCGATTAACCAAATAAAACGTTCTAGTCACAACTAATAACACGTCCCCTATTTATATAACCAAACAGTAAAGAGAAAATTATGAAGTTAACTATAGAAATAATAGAAACACAATTTTGTCGACACTAGCGATCAGTGTCACCGGACATGAACTAGACACGAAAAACGAGCTTCAAAGTTTACAATGGTATATAAAGTTTACTTGTGTTGGTTAGTCTATGGTAAGACTATAAAGCATTTTCCACCCTAATAATCATGAGAATAATGTTAAATATACTTATAAATATATTTATTTGATCAACTACGCAGCTCTTACTCCTAATTAATCGTAGGATACGACATTGTGGTACCGATACTATATAGGTACTACACTTTCGGCAACACTGGCCAAAAATATTCGTGCTTGGCTCCCATTGGACAGCCCGCGAGGCTTCTGATTGGGAGTTAGCGAGTTCCGCCGAGGGACCGAGTTAGCGACTTCCGTACGAGGACGGAATTCGCTAACCCGGCTCTAGAGCCGGGTTAGCGGGTTCCGGAGTTAGCCAATTCCGAAACCTAACAAGTTAGCGAGTTCCTCTCATCGACCAAAT